CAGAATGGTTACAGTGGAAAAAACAGAAAGGCACAAGTGTTGGTAGAAGTACGATTGGTAAAAGCCACTTTGGAAAATGTTTTGGCAGTATCTCCTAAAATTAACATATATAATCACCATAACCAAGTAATTCTACTCTTAGGTGAATAGTCACCAAGAAATGTCTGCACATGTGCACCAGGAAATATATATAAAAATGTTAGCATAATGTATAATACTGAAACTCAAAACAACCTAAAGATCCATCAACAGTAGAATGGATATAGTATAGTCCTCCTATGGAACATTACCCAGCAATGAAAAGTGGGGGAAAAAAAAAAACTACATCTATATGCAGGAAACATGGATGAATCTCACAAATATAAGATGGACAGACAAAACATTAATCAGGATAAGGCATACATGCTTAGATGTTAAAGTTACTTAAAAGAGCTAGATAGGGACTGCCATAGAAGACAAGAGTGCCTATTTTGGGGAAAAGGAGTGGGGTGCAGGCTAGATGTAAGAAGTCATGAGGAGGACTTCAAGAGCATTGAGAATTTTTTTTCTTTTAGCCATGTGATGGTTACACAGATATTCACTTTGTGACAATTCACTAAGCTATATGGTTTGATTCTGAGCACTTCTGTATATTTGCATTACATTTCACCAAAGAAAAGGTTGTAAAAAAGAGAGGAAGGGAAGAAAAAAAAAAATAATAACAAGGTCACAACACTATCTGGAAAGATATCTAATATATTAAGCTAAATACTAAGGTCAAATGAAATATAAGCACACAAAAAGGTGCTCAACAACATTAGTCATCAGGGAAATGCAAATTAAAAACCATAATGAGATACCACTATACACCTGTTCAGAATGCCTAAAATACTAAAATTCTTAATGCTGAGGATGCAGAGCAACTGGAATACTCAGTGTTGATAGGAATGCAAACTTGTACAGGCACTTTAAAAAATAGTTTGGAAATTTTTTACAAAGCTAAATATATCTTTCTCATATATAAATCATCAATCTCATTCTTAGTAGTATTTACCCACAACAAATTAAAACTTACCTACACAACTGTAAGCAAATGCTTAAGCAGCCTTGTTGATAATCATAACCAAGGAAACAACCCACATGAAAGAATTTTGAGGAGTGATGGAACTGCTCTACATTATGATTTTATGATCACTATACTGTTCTGCATCTGGCAAGATCCTATACATCACAAAAAATTACCTTTGTTGTATGTAAATTTAAAAAATAAATTGTAAAAAATTGTAGAACAAAACACTATGGTCAAAGCAATGCCACAGATTTCCAGGATATCAATATGCCAAACTTGTCATAAAATTCCCAAAAATTCAAGAATCCTAAAAATGTGTATTACTTAAATTATACAATGTAAAGAGACTGTAATTCACTTAGACATTTAAACTATAACAAAAAGCATTACTTGTAAAATGACTGTTGCACTTGGTTTAGCATTTTATATACATATTTTAATCATCCAAATAATCATATAAATCTACAATTATCTCAACTATAACATTTTACCCATAGATACACATCTAGTGAATGATGAAGCTGGTATTTAATCCCACTGTATCCTAGTCTTTCGAAGCCCATTTTCTTTCCTCTACACTTTCTTCTTAGTTCAAAAGCTTTGGTAATTCTTTAATGAGTAGTGTGTTCCTTTACATTATGTAAAGATCTGCTCATACTTCCTACATTTGTAAGCTTAAAATAGATCATGAATATTTTCTATTTTTCAGGTGCCCACATAACCAGAATTATACAAAACAAAGTTAAAATATACAACTTCTGTCCTCAAGGTGTTTATAAATCTAATTAGCTGGCAAACATATGACAAAGTAGGCAATTTTAAAACTCAGAAACAATAGCTGAGTAGTAGAACCATGGTTAGTGTCAGTACCTTATAATAACAAAATAATTCTAATTGCTTCACTGTCATTCATTTCACTTATATATAAGGACATGTGTGAATAAGTATACATGTGTATATATACATATACACACATAAGCAAACACAGTCAAACAGTGTTACTATTATTTTAAACTGTTATCTATTAGAGCAATTAAGCACAAGAAAAATAAAAGTTTTATTTTATCTTCATTCATTTCTTCTGCAATGCTTTTTCTTCTGGATTTCTCATCTATAGCACCTTCCTAGCCTCTAAAGAACCTCTTTAAACACTTCTTTCAAAAATGATCCACTGGCAAAAAATTCTGTTTTTCTCTGATGATCTTTATTTCTCCTTTACTTTTTTTTTTCATTTATTTTTATTAGTTGGAGGCTAATTACTTTACAATATTGTAGTGGTTTTTGCCATACATTGACATGAATATTTCTCCTTCACTTTTAAAGTATAATTTTACACAGTACATTATTCTAGGCTGGTGGCTTTTTTCTCTCAATACCTTAAATATTTCATTCCACTCTCTTCTTATTTGTATGGTTTCTGAGGAGAAGCCAGATATAATTCTTATCTTTGCTCCTCTATAGGAGGAGCTTCCTCGGGATTTTTTTTTCCTTTATCTTCAATGTTCTATGATTTGAAAATAATATCCCTATGTACAAAGGACTTTTTTTGCCATTTATCCTACTTGATGTTCTCTGGGCTCTCTGGGTCTTCGGTTTGGTATCTGACATTGATTCAGGAAAACCCTCAGTTGTTTTAGTTTCAGATATTTCTTCGGTCCCTTCCTCCCTCCTCTGGTACTGCCAGAACGCTTGTGCTGCACCTTGTGTCATCACCCCACAGTCCCCGCAATATTCTCTTCTGGGCTTTTACTCCCCCCAGGCTTTTTCTCTTTGGTTTCCAGTTTTCAAGAATTCTACTGATATATCCTCTTGCTCAAAGACTCTTTCCTCATGCATGTCCAATCTATTAATAAGCCATCAAAAGCACTCTTCACTTCTGTTAGTGTTTGTATTTCTTTTTTCTCTAGCATTTCTTTTCAGTTCTTTCTTAGAATTTCCATCTCTCTGCTTATATTGCCCGCCTGTTCTTGCATGTTATCTACTTTATCCATTAGCACTCTTAGCATATTAATCACAGTTAACTGTTTCAAATTCCCAGTCTGATAATTCCAACTCCCCTGTCATATCTAATTCTCATGCTTGCTCTGTCTCTTCCAACTGCGTCTTCTGCCTTTATTTTTTGCAAATATATCTTGCAATTTTTTTTTTGCTTTGACAGCCAGACATGACACACTGGGTAAAACAAACTGTTGTAAACAGGTCTTTAGTGACGTAAGCTATCAGTGAAAACAGCTGGCTTAAAGCTCAACATTCAGAAGACTAAGATCATGGCATTCACTCCCATCACTTCATGGCAAATAGATGGGGAAACAGTGGAAACAGTGACAGACTTTATGTTGGGGGGCTCCAAAATCACTGCAGATGGTGACTGCAGCCATGAAATTAAAAGACGCTTGCTCCTTGGAAGAAAAGCTATGACAAACCTAGCCAGCATATTAAAAAGCAGAGATACTACTTTGTCAGCAAAGGTCCATCTAGTCAAGGCTATAGTTTTTCCAGTAGTCATTAATGGATGTAAGAGTTGGACCATAAAGAAAGTTGACCGCTGAAGAACTGATGCTTTTGAACTGTGGTGTTGGAGAAGACTCTTCAGAGTCCCTTGGAGTGCAAGGAGATCCAACCAGTTCATCCTAAAGGAAATCAGTCCTGAATATTCATTGGAAGGACTGATGCTAAAGCTGAAACTCCAATACTTCAGCCACCTGATGTGAAGAACGCACTCACTGGAAAAGACCCTGATGCTGGGAAAGATTGAAGGCGGGAAGAAAAGGGGGCAAGAGAGGATAAAATGGTTGGATGACATCACCAACTCAATGGACCTGAGTTTGATCAAGCTCCAGGAGTTGGTGATGGACAGGGAAGCCTGGCATGCTGCAGTCCATGGGGTCGCAAAGAGCTGGACACGACTGAGTGAGTGAACTGAACTGACGGTATCAGGGATGATAGCACAATTTATAGTCCTAGCCCTATAGTAAGGTCTCAGTCTTTTAGAAAGCCTGTGTTTCTGGCCTGTGAACTTCACACACACTTCTCAATCTCCCTGCCATCAGGTGGGGCAGGATGCTTAGAGCGAACTGAAGTTGTATATTTCCCTTCTTCAACATTAAGACTGGAGCAGTTCTAGTTGGGTATTTCCCTTCACCCACATCAGTTAAGCTCTGATAAAACTCAGACTCTGGTAAAATAGTTTATCCTAGAGGGCAAGTCTTGTTAGAAAGAACAGAATGCTCTGGCACATCTTAAAATGGTTCCCCTTTTTTCCTTCATCTATCAAAAGCATGAGGGGATTTTTCTGATATACACTGAGAGATTCTGGTTGAGACACAACAGGTAAGACTCACAAAAAGTGTGGGGCCTCTGAAGATTCATTTCCCCTGGAGTTTTTAACTCTTAAGAGTGGCCCATACTGAGCCTGCAGTAATTTGTGAGCCAATTCAGGTTTCCCTACACCAGCAATGGTTCCCAGCAAGGCTGCTGGTCTCGTGAGCTGTGATTCACTGTAGTCTCTATGGGTCTCTTCAATCTTAAGGGCAGTGGCTTGCTTTGTGACCTCTCTGTACTAAAAAAATCTTGGTGATTTTTCAGTGGATTTTAAGCTTTATTTGTTGTCAGGTTGGAATGGCAATTTCCAAGCTTCTCACATGCCATACCAGAAACCAGAAGTCTGCATTTTAAGAAATGTTTCTCTATACCACAAGCTTAAAAACTTACACAGAATAATAAAACACATGCAAACTCAATATCATATAGAACAAAACTGTGTTGCATACTCTGTGAATTATTTTTCACTTTCTTCTTATACTGCACATATTTTTATTTCTAGTCATGTAGCCTAGATCAGACACATCTTAAAGAGTTGAATCTTCCAGTTTATCTATAAAAATCAATATAAACTTTAAAAGTGTAATACTTGACATATATCTTCCAAATAAACAATAAAATTACAGCTTACCATTTTGATGCCTGTGGAAAACGTCCCTGGTTTTATAGGTTTAGGTTTCTCAATTTGCATTTCCAATTGGGTAGATCTATCTTTATGCTGAGCCAAAAGCAGAGCAACGGGGAGATCAGAACTCTCCTGTAAGAGAAGTTAAAGTGCAATGTGAAAGTTAAAAAGAAAAAACTAAAGAGCAACCAGTCTTTTATTTTAAATTATGCCTTTCCATAAGCACTTGATGTCAACCTAAATATTCACTTTATGGAGAACACTTTACAAAAGACTTTAACATTCCATAATAAGAAAAGGCTGTTTTAGACTCATAAATCAAAATAACCTACAAAAATGGATTTTTATAGAATTCACATTAAAGACAATATAATAGGGTCTTATTTCATCTAGTGAAACCAACCATATATTTATTTAAAAAAAAATTAGAAGCTAATCACAAAGAGAGTAGTACAAAGTACTATAACCTAGATCAGATGTTTATCTAAGACACATTCTTTTAACCAGTGAATTCAGACTAGCTTGAAATTGTTCCCCATTAGATTTCACCTGAGGCCGTTTGGAAATGATCCTTGTTCTGTTTTTTGTACAATGGAATGATTGTTAAGTACAACCAAAAGTACATTTATTTTCTCCTTTATTACTTACTTTTATAAATTAAGTCTAAATTTTTAAATTTGCAAAATAATAGTAAACATTTTTAATATCTTATATTGATACTAAAACAGGGCCACTATCTACACAAATCTGCATACACACATATTAATAACATCATCAAATAACTCTTATATGTAAACTGCTATTTATCCTATTTAAAATGAAGTCTTCTTACATGTTTAAAGTGCTACACAGCTAAGATCTAAACTAAATGTATCCAAGTCATTTTCCCTTTTGAGATGTCAGTGAAATAAGAACACAGAAACATATGCAGAAGGAAACCAGGAAGGAAGGAGATCATACACAAACATACACAAAGAGACACACTATTTTAAAAATCTGTTAGACCATTTGATGACTTTATTTTTATAGGTCACCTTGGTATAGGAGATAGAAATGTATTTGCACCTTTCTTTCTGTTTACTGATACAGAGAGCAGTGTGTCTCTTTGTGTATGTTTGTGTAGCACTTTAAACATGTAAGAAGACTTCAGTTTAAATAGGATAAATAGCAGTTTATATATAAGAGTATCTTATGGAAAAACCCAAATGAACTTTTTGGCCAACCCAGTATTTCATTCTTAGCTTTCCATTTTTACCCTGAAAGGTTCCCTAAGCTATTTAATAGCCTGAAGATACAATGCTCAATATTTAAAGAAATTTTAATTAAGACTACCTGTAATACTCATTAAAAGCTTTATAATGACCATTTTGAAAGATTATTTTAACTGACTTTGAGCAAGCCATGTGGCAAACAATATTCTAATAAAAATAAGCTACTGCATTTGACAATATTAGCCCTAGCAAAATTTAAGACATAATCTGAAGAGAATTTTCTAACAGGAATATAAAAAGATTTAATAAGTCAGGACCTATTTAAAAATCTTTTTTCAAATAGCTTTTAGAAAAAAAAATCCTGAATTTACAGTTAGGATTAAATAAATGGACTTTTTAGGCAACATTTTAAGTCATAAAGATTAAGACCATAACATTAAAATTCTGTCACATAGAGCATAATGTAATGCCAACACTTTTTTAAAAGGTTAAAAAGTGACTTTTAGCATAAGGACCAAAAACAGGAGAAGAAAAACTAATAAGGAGTACTTATACTAGTTGTCTAAATTAGATCCAGAGAATCATTTGAAGATTTAAGGTACTAGATATATTTACAATGCAGTCTTTCTAAATAAAATTTAACATATGAACATACATAGAAAAAATACAATGCATTCTTTTACATACTTAATAAAGATTCAGGAAAATAAAAAGAAATCTAAAGAATTCTTTCAATTAGTCAACAAGGATAAAATGGATGTTAACATTTTAACAAAAAAATTTTAATAAATATTCAAAAATTAAAGTAACAATCTTTAAAAATAAATTTGAAAATGAAAACCAGAAATTCAAATTGAATTGGTATTCAAACCAATCTGTTGTAATTAATTGTTCTAATGAATACAGTAAATTGTTAAAGATTATTTAACCACTATGTTACATGATCTAAATAGTGAAGAAAGTATGCACAGTAATGACTTGCAGGTGAAGAAAACAGGAAGGGGAGGGCAGTTCTTAACAAAAACCAATATTAACTCCAGATTATATACAATGTACAACACTGGCAGTTGCAGCTCAAAAGCCAAAAGCAGCTCAATGAGGCACCAAAATTTCATGCTAAAACACTAAAGATAAAAAGAATATACAAAAATAATAGCTGTGCAAAACTAGCTAATCTCAAAATTAAAACTAAAAATTCTTAATAATAAATGGAACATTAAAAGTTAGAGTTTATATTTGTCTTAAATCTAAGTTCAGTTCAGTTCAGTATTTGGAATTAATGTATAGAGGAAAGCATTAATAATGTACAAAGGAAAGAAAATCATCTTCCTCTATATATAAAATGATGAGAGAAAGAACCTTTCAAAAAAAAAACAAACGTGTAACATGAGGCTTTATGAATTCATTCTTTAAAGTTTTTAATTTCTCACAAGCAACATGTCCACAAAAAATGTAAAACACAGTATGTATCATTTCAACTGTTAAAGCCACAACTTCCACTTAATAGTTTCAAAAAAATTAATGGAAGTTACTAACAAAAAAAAAATCTTCCATGCTATACATTGCTATTTTCATTTTTTTGCTTTGGGCTACGCCGTGTGGTTTGTGGGATCTCAGTTCCTGATCAGGGACTGAACCAGGGCCATGACACAAGTGCCGAATCCTAACCATTTAGACCACCAGGGAATTCCTTGTCCTCATTTTTAGAACCAAATTTATGTTCCACTCATACAAAGTAGATAGGGTTTATGATAAGCACTTACTGTCTAAGCTTCACTAAGGCCCTTGCTTTCTCACCTACTTCTAATTTATTAGGTTGGTGCAAAAGTAATTGCAGTTTTACATTGTTGAATTTGTTGTCTGATACTGGAATACATCTTTAAATAAATGTAGTTATGTTATACATCATCTTAATGTACATTTCTCATTTTATATTTTTTTGTTAATGACATTACTTGCTGTTTATTTTATATTTATTTTAGTCAATAGAAATGACATTGGACAAAAAGAAAATTTGAGCAACTTTTTTTGAGTTCAAAATGGGCTGTAAGCAGCAGAGACAATTTGCAACAGTAACAACTCATTTGACCCAGGAACTGCTAACGAATGTACAGTGCAGTGGTGGTTCAAGAAATTTTGCAAAGGAGAGGAGAGACCTGAAGAGGAGGAGTACAGTGGCCAGCTATTAGAAGTTAACAATAACCGAGAGCATCATCAAAGCCAATCCTCTTAAAACCACATGAGAAGTTGCCAAAGAACTCAACATTGACCATGCTATGGCTGTTCAGCATTTGAAGCAATTTGGAAAGGTGAAAAAGCTTGATAAGTGAGTATCTCATGAGCTGACCAAAAATAAAAAAAATTGTAATTTTGAAGTGTCATCTTCTCTTATTCTATACAACAGCAATGAACCATTTCTCGATCGGATTGTGATGTGAGAGGAAAAGTGGAATTTATCCAACAACCAGTGATGACCAGCTCAGCAGCTGGACCAAGAAGCAGCTTCAAAGCACTTCCCAAAGCCAAAACTTGCACCAAAAAAAGATCATGGTCACTGAAGGTTTGCTGCCAGTATGACCCACTCACTACAGCTTTCTGAATCCTGGTGAAACCATTACATCAGAGAAGTGCTGATCAAATCAATGATACGTACTAAAAACTGCAATGCCTGCAGCCGGCATTGGTCAACAGAATGAGTCCAATTCTCCACCACAATGCCCCACCACATGTCACACAGCAAAGTTTCAAAAGTTGAACGAATTGGACTATAAAGTTTTGCCTCATCCGCCACATTCACTTCACCTCTCACCAACTGACTACAATTTCTTCAAGCATCTTGACAATTTTTTGCAGGTAAAAACACTGCCACAACCAGCAGGAGGCAGAAAATGATTTCTAAAAGTTCATCAAATCCCAAAGCAGGGATTTTTATGCTACAGGAATAAACAAACTTATCTGTCATTGGCAAAAATGTGTTGATTGTAATGGTTCCTATTTTGATTAATAAAGATGTGTTTGAGCCTAGTTTAAATGATTTAAAATTCATGGTTTGAAACCATAAATACTTTTGTACCAACCTAATACATAATCTTGCTTTCTCTTTTTATTCCTGGTTATATGGCTTAAATGCTTTCAGGGCAAAAGCACAGTAAAAAAAAATATACACACATACATTCACTGGTCACAGAATAACAAACAGCATAGCAACTAATAAACTGAAGAGTTAAGTATGTTAACAACACATGGAAATGAATTACATAGCTAGAAAGGGAAAGGAAGAATGTAAAAAGCCTTTACCAGAAAGGACAATTTCCATGTTGCGATTTCATCAGTATCACATTGGTTTATAAGCATCAAATAATACATTCTCAAATCCATGAAACATTTCATAAACCTTAGTTGTAATCCCTGCTATTATCTAATAATGTTGACTACTTGGGGAACTAACAACTAGAAAACACCAATAACTTGCAAGACATTACCATTTCTTTCAAATATATTTTCCCCATGCAAAAATACAAAATATAGTTCTCATAGAGTAACCAGTCACTAAAACTTCAGCATGAAGCCAAAATACTTGAAAATGAGCTAGTTATTAGAAAATCAGTGGCAATCAGGAGAAAAATGCTCTGAAAACATGTTTTAGTCAGTAAGCTGAGAAACACATCAACACTCTATTAGTAGTAACTGGCTTATGTTAATTATAGTATTACTCTGTTATCTGAAAATAAAATGGATATTAACAAACATTAAAAATAAATAAATAAATAGGGGCTTCCTTGAAGGTTCAGTGGTTAAGAATCTGCCTCCCATGCAAGAGACTTGGGCTCAATCTCTGATTTGGGAAGATCACACATGCTGCAGAACAAGGAAGCCCATGTGCCACAATTACTGCAGCCTTCGAGCTAGAGGCGGTGCTATGCAACAAGAGAAGCCACTGCGACGAGAAGCCCATGCAACACAATGAAGAGCAGCCTCCATTTGTCAGAACTAGAGAAAGCCCACATGCAGCAACCAACATGCAGCACAGCCAATACATAAATCAATACTTAAAATAAATAAATAAAATAAAGGAACAGAAGGTGAATACATGAGTACAAACTGTAGAAATGCCATTTAAATACCATCACCCAGTATAATAGGAAAGATAAATCCTGAAGACAAATGTTTTTATCACAATCAACATTAATACATACCAGTTCATCTAAAAGAGTCTGCTTATTCTTCCTTTTTAGAATCTGCTGCATTTGTTCTTCTTTTTGTATAAACAGTCGTCTTTGTTCATTTTCCTGTCGTTCTACTTCTAAAGCTTCCTCCAATTCCTCCTGTTCCCGAGTCTGAAACAGTAACATTTATATATGGCATGAAATAAATTTAGTGACCAAAACTAAGTATATATCATACTCCATACTACCTTTTTTCGAAACATAAATTGCTCTAGTCACTAACTGTTTAATAGTGCAGCAGCAGCTCCACTTTAAAAGAATGAATTTTCTTTCATGCAGACATGTTACTATTAAAAAGAATGACATCTAGCACTAAATGAAATCTAAACAAAGTACACTTATCTCAGCTGCAGAAATGTGGAAACTGCTTAAGAAGACTTTATTTAGATTTAACAAAGAAAGCAAAACAAAAACCCAACAACAACAAACAGATCATCTCCATATAGAACTATTAATTAAAACACTCCATATAAAAGACTGGTTCATTTAATAGAAACAATTTCAAAATACATAAGATAATGAAAAGTTATCACAGTACTTAGCATCTTTACCCCAAGTTAAAATAAGTCTTTCTGATGCTTGAGTTCCAAACAGCATTCATTTAAGGTAAGTTATGAAAAACTGAGGTTATTTTCTAACACAAGCATATAAATTTCAAGGGTCCTCTCTGTGGACTAAAAAATTCAAAATCCAAAGCTAATATGCAGAGAGAATGAACTACAGTCCTACATTACTTCCCTTTTATGAAGTTTCTTTGAAATATTAAATACTTCCAGACCCTGAAATTTATTCCAACCCTAAGTCATATTTAAAAGCAGTATTATACCGACTCTGTTCTTTAAGTCTTATGAATGAGAAATAAAGTAATATCTTAATGGCTTTATTTTAAATCCTTGACTGCTGCTCTTAAAAATGCAATACCTTTTTTTAATTCAACATAATACTGAGAATTTATGGCACCTTGAGGCAAATACAGAATAGAGGGAGAGAGTATAACATGTTTTGGAATCACTAACATGAATTAACAGAGACCTCACAGAAAAGTATATTTTTATGTAAAATAATATTTACATATGTTAATCTCTGTTAAGATTATATCAATTCACAAATTAGATAAACTCCCAGAAATAAACAAGACTCCCAAATGAAAAAAATATTTCCCTTATAATTCAAACTCAGTATATCCAAAATTAAGTTCAGCATTTGGTTTCCCAAAGCTGATCACCCTCCTGTATTCCTGACTTCTGCTAACTGCACACCCACCTCTCGGTCAATTCAAATTGAAACCTCAAAGTCATCTTTATTACTTCTTCTCCCTCAACCCCATCCCCCTTAAATTAAGTCAGTTGCCAAGTTCAAGTAGCATTTCTCCCCTATAATCTTAAAAACCTCTATCACTGAGATTGCTATTCTAACTCAGGCACCCAAGTGGAGAAGAAGATTCAAACTTGATCTAAAAAAAACTACTAGGAATAAATGTACAAAGTTAGGGGGTAAGATATGAAGGCTGGAAAAGTGAATTATTAGACAGTAGGTCCATAAGCAGAAAAGGATGTCTCAAAATAAAAGTGTTATATCAGCAATAAGTCAAACAAGTGATAGGTTTACAGAGTATGGTGGGGGCAAAATTAATACAGTGGTTAATTCCCCGTGCTATGATGGAGGACAGGTAGAGTTAGAAAAGATTTCACAGAGTGTTACAGGTTGAATGTGTGCCCCCAAAATACATGTTGTAGTTCTGAACCCATGGTAACCATAAATGTGACCTTATTTGGAAATAGGGTCTTTGCATGTGTAACCAAGTTAAGATAGGTAATACTGGAAACTTGGATACAGACACACAGGGAGAAGGCCATGGGAAGTTAGAGGCAGAGATCAGAGTGGTGACAAAGATGCTAAAAGAAACAAAGATTCCTCCCTAGAGCTTTCAGACAGACCATGACCTGATGACACCTTGACTTCAGACTTCTAGCTTACAGAAGCCTGTTCCTGTAAGAGACAAATTTCACTGTTAAAAATCACCAGTTTGAAAAAAAAAAAAAAAAATCACCAGTTTGGGGTAATTTAACAGCCCTAGGTAAGTAATACATGAAGGCTGAGCAGTAGGTATTTAACCCCACTGCAGAGTGGAAGAGCCACTTAGGCAGAGAAACAAAGGTACAAAGACACGATCGAGCTAGAATGCTTGGTGTGGCCAAGTCATTGAGCATGAAGCTGGGGAAAGCTCTTGATAAAGCTGGAGAGGCCGGCAGAAGGCAGATGATGGAGAGTTGACCATGCGATACTAAGGGGTGCATTTGTGCCGTACTAAGGCAACTGGTAAGACGAAGAATTTAGAAAGATGACTAGAAGCAGTGAAGAATACAGAACACTGGGGTTCAAGACTGAAAACAGGAAGACTCAGCTGAATATTTCAGTAACTCAAGTAAGAAATAATGAATACTATGTAAAGTAATAATATTATAATTAAGAGGAGGAACTAGGTTTGAAAGACCATAAGGAAAGACTACCAACAGTATATGATTCCCCGAAGAAGACACATAGATGGCCAATAAACACGTGAAAAGATGCTCAACATCATTCATTACTGTAGAAATGCAAATCAGAACTACAATGAGGTATCATCTCACACCACTCAGAATGAAAGTGAAAGTGTTAAGTCACTCAGTTGTGTCCGACTCTTTGTGACCCCATGAAGTGCAGCCCACTAGGCTCCTCTGTCCATACAATTCTCCAGGCAAGAATACTGGAGTGGGTAGTCATTTCTTTCTCCAGGGGATCTTCCCAATCCAGGGATTGAATCCAAGTCTCCCACATTGCAGGCACACTCTTTACTGACTAAGCCACCAGGGAAGCCACACCAATCAGAATGGCCATCATCAAAAAGCTACAATAATGGCTGGAGAAGATGTGGAGAAAAGAGAATCCTACTGCACTGTTTAGTGGAAATGTAAACTGATACAGCCACTATGGAGAACAGTATGGAGATTCCTTAACAAACTAAAACTACCACATGACCCAACAATTCCACTACTGGGCATATAACCTGAGAAAACCACAATTCAAAAAGACACATATACCTACAATGTTCATTGCAGCACTATTTACAATAGTCAGGACTGGGAAGCAAGCCAGATATGCATCAACAGATGAAAGGATAAAGAAAATATGGTACATATATACAATAGAATATTACTCAGCCATAAAAAGCAGCAAATTTGAGTCAGTTCTAATGAGGTGGATGAAGCTAGAGCCTACTATACACAGTGAAATAAGTCAGAAAAACAAACATCATATATTGGTAGAACAAATAAGAAACTAGCATTGACATGTACACTCCTTCCAATTATGACTCGTTATTATACAGCAGAAACCAGCATGCTGTAGAACAATTATGCTTCAATTTCTAATAAAGTTTTTTAAAAAACAGTATATGAAGACTAACCAGATATGGCTTGAACACTTAGATAAAGAACATAATAGGAGAAATAGGTAGGAGAGAAGATGAAAAAGGTCAGTTAAGATGAACATAGATGCAAAACTCTTCAACAAAATATTAGCAAAACCAAATTCAACAATACATTAAAAGGATCATATACCATAATCATGTGGGATTTATACAAAGAATGCAAGGATGGTTCAATACCCACAAATCAATCAATGTGACATACCACATTTATAAATGGAAAAATAAAAAGCATATAGTCATCCCAGTAGATGTAAAAAGGGATTTTGATAAAATTCAACATTTGTTTATAATAAAACTCTAAACAAAGTAGGCACAGAATGAACATAAAACAATAAAGGCCAAATATGACAAGCCCATAACTAATAATATATTCAACAGTGAAAAGCTGAAAGCATTTCCTCTAAGATCAGGAACAAGACAAGGATGCTCACTCTTGCCACTTTTATTAAAAAAAGTATTGGAAGTACTGTATTGGAAGTCCTAGCCACAGCAATCAAACAAAAACGAAAAAGAATTCCAACTGGAAAGGAAGAAGAAAAACTGTCAATATTTGAAGATGGCATGATACTATATATACAAAATTCTAAACATGCCACCAAAAAACCTATTAGAACTCACCAATGAATTCAGTAAACTTGCAGGATAAAAAATTAATCTATAAAAATCTGCTGCACTTCTATACACTAACAACAAACTATCAGAAAGAGAAAAGAATCACATTTACACCTGCTTCAAAAAGAATAAAATACGTAGGAAGTAATCTAAGTAAAAGACCTATAAAGAGAAAAATGTAAGACACTGACAAAAGAAACTGAAGACAACACGAACAAATGGAAAGATATACTCTGCTCACGAAGAATTAATAGTATTAAAATGGCCATACCACCCCAACACAATCTACAAACTCAGTGCAATCCCTATCAAAATACCAACCACATTTTTCACAGAAATAGAACAAATAATTTTTTGTGTGTATGGCAACATAAAAGACCTTGAATAGCCTAAACAATCTTGAAAAAGAACAACAAAGCTCAAAGTATCATGCTACCTGATTTCAAACTACAATACGAAGACACAGTCTTTAAAAATACAAAGTACTAGTACAAAAACAGACACAGAGATCAATGCGGAATAGAATAGAGAGCCCAGAAGTAAACCCACTTATATGGGCAATTAATCCATGACAAAGGAGGCAAAAATATACAACCTTAAGAAAAACCCTCTTCAATAAATGGTGTTGGAAAAACTAGACAGCCACACGTGAAAGAATTAAACAGGACTACTTTCTCACACCATCGACAAAAATAAACTCAAAAGGGATTATTTAAGAATTAATTGTAAGACCTGAAACCATAAAACTCTTACAAGACAACATGGGTAGTATGCTCTTTGACATCTACCCACGTCAAATGGGTAGCATGGGTAGCAAACAATAAATCTGGTAAGAAGTTAATGTCCAAAATATAAAAAATAACTCATAGAACTCAACACCAAAAAACAAATAATCTGATTAAAAAATGGGCAAAGAACCTGAAGAGACATTTTTCCAGAGGATACACAGATGGCCTAAAGGCATAGGAAAAAATGCTTAACATCACTAACCATCAGTTAGTTCAGTTCAGTCACTCAGTCATGTCCGATTCTTTGCGACCCCATGAACCGCAGCACGCCAGGCCTCCCTGTCCATCACCAACACCCAGAGTCCACCCAAGCCCATGTCCATTGTGTTGGTGATGCCATCCAGCCATCTCATCCTCTGTCATCCCCTTCTCCTCCTGCCCTCAATCTTTCCCAGCATCAGGGCCTTTTCAAATGAGTCAGCTCTTGGCATCAGGTGGCCAAAGTATTAAGAGTTTCAGCTTCAACATTAGGCCCTTCAATGAACACCAGGACTGATCTCCTTGAAGTCCAAGGGACTCTCAAGAGTCTTCTCCAACACCACAGTTCAAAAGCATCAATTCCTCTGTGCTCAGCTTTCTTTACAGTCCAACTCTCATATCCACACAAGACCACTGGAAAAACCATAGCCTTCACTAGACGGACCTTTGTTAGCAAAGTAACGTCTCTGCTTTTTAATATGCTGTCTAGGTTGGTCATAACTTTCCTTCCAAGGAGCAAGCGACTTTTAATTTCATGGCTGTAATCACCATCCGCAGTGATTTTGGAGCCCAGAAAAATAAAGTCAGCCATTGTTTCCACTGTTTCCCCATCTATTTGCCATGAAGTGATGGAACCAGATGCCATGATCTTAGTTTTCTGAATGTTGAGCTTTAATTACTAACCAATGAAATATCACCTCACATCTGTCAGAATGGTCATCATCAAAAAGACAACAAATAACAAACGTTGGAAAGGATGTGGAGAGAAGGGGACCCTAGGAATGTAAATTGGTGCAGGCACTATGGAAAACAAGAAGATTCCTCAAAAAATTAGAAATACAACTACAATACAATCAAGCAATTCTGGGTTCTTATCCAAAAAAAAGCAAAACACTTATTTGAAAAGATACGCACCTCAACATTCATTTCTGCATTATTTAAATAAGCCAAGATAACAGAAGCACCTTAAGTACCCATCAACAGGAGAATGGATAAAAAAAGATGCAACATACAAAATCAAACATTACTCAGCCATTAACAAAAAAGAATGAAATCTTGCCATTTGGATTGACCTAGATGGTACTATGCTAAAATTTAAAAAGTCAAAGAAAGACAAATACTGTATGATTTCACTTATTTTGGAATCAAAAAAACAAAACAAGTAACCAAAAATAACAAAACAGTCACAAATACAGAGAACAAACAGGAGGTTGCTAGGGGGAAGGGGGATGGGGAATGAAAGAAATAGGTGAGAAAGATTAAGTATGAACTTCCATTTACAAAATAAATAAGTCACAGGTACGAAATTCCCACTGTGGGGGAATATAGTCGACAAAAATACAGTATCTTTGTATCATGATGGTAACCGTACAACCATAATGGTAACTTGACTTCAAATGGTGATTATTCTGAAATGTATGTTGCTGTTACTGTTGTTGTTGCTGCTGCTGCTGCTGTTTAGTCGCTAAGTCATGTCTGACTCTTTGTGACCCCATGGTCTGCAGCATGCCAGGCTTCCCTGTCCTTCACTATCTCCCAGAGTTTGCTCAAACTCATGTCCATTGAGTCAATGATGACATGCAACCACCTCATCCTTTGTCACCCACTTCTCCTTCTGCCCTCAAACTTTTCCAGCATCAAGGTCTTTTCCAATGAGTTGGCTCTTCATATCAGTTGGCCAAAGTGTTGCAGCTTCAGCATCCACAGTAAACCCAGTAATAGTTTCTCTGTCAGAAATGGGTCATATTCTGTGCCTAATCATACAAGAGACTGAGTTTTTTTCCCTTTTTTGATACAATTCTGATGTTGGAACAGTGAGACGTCAACATTCACAAAGATATTAAAGGCAAGTTGCTACCTCAGGATAGTAAAAACATCATTCATATAGTCCACATTTCTTGGGCCACCTCAGAACTGGGCTCTACCCAAAGACACCATAGTTACTGATACACATGAACTTGCACCGTCTTAAAAATGGTCCTATGTCTGTATTTATGCCAACACCAAATAGCTAACAAATCACTAACAATATCACTAACAAATAAAATGCTCATCATAGAATGATCAATTAATAAATGATAATGAATTACTGACCAAAACACTTAGTTATAACAGATCCAGATGCTAAATGCTAACATGAAGGATAAATGTGGTCACTGTAACATGCATTAAACAAAGTACAAGCTGATCATTATACAAATGGGGTATCAGGCATGCTGGTCCTTGGCACAGTTGAAAATTCATGTATAGTTTAGTCTGCACTCCTTATCAGTGGTTCCCTCTGTGTCTGAGGTTCTGCAACCAAGGATTCAATCTCTCAACATGTGGTATAGTAGTATTTACTATTGAAAATAATCCAGGTGTTAAGTGGACCTGCACAATTCAAACCTGTGTTGTTCAAGGGTCAACTGTATTCAATAACCTATCATTATAAAGTTTTCATTAATTAGAAATTCCTACTTTAAAATAATATAACCAGCCTAAAATTAGATCATTCTTTCATTTAAACTCTCAATATTATTTTCTAGCTTAAAACTATAAATGAAAAAAGCACTCACTTGAAAAGAACAACCTTATTAAGTTAAACAGAGTTAATGCACCAAGTTACCCGGGCATACCTATTGTGCATGTATCTTCTGATGTACCCAGAGAAGGCTACTGGGCAAAGAGAGTAATTTTTATGGCATACTGACGCTCTCAGAAATGAGACACCTTTCTAAGGAAGCCAGGCTGGATATGAACAGAACAGAATGTCAATTCCTCAAGAGTTTTATTACAGGAAAGAAGTGCCTTAATGAAACACTTGAAGACTGTAACAAGTAAATCTTTCTAAGTACAAGATGAAAATATAAGCCATGTAATCCAAACATTCAAGTTATGTAATCCAAACATACCTATATCATTTTTACCAATGATTACAAATTCCTGGTACAGCACCTTAAAAACAATTATCTCGCTTTCCCCAAAACTAGAAACCCAAACTACACTGAAGAAATGACAGCTAAACTGTATAAGTTAGATAATTAAATCTCTACGTGCATACAATTATTTTTCCTTTATAGAATACATTTTTTTTATAGAATATATTTTAATAATGCCATCAAAACTGTTTTTGCTATAGTAATGTGTGCCTCATACCTATATGCTTTATATAAATATACTGGTATTTCTGGCCTTAATTTCAGCTAAATTCTTTGTAAATATAACTAGGTTTAGAAAAAGTTTTTTAAAGGATCAGGTGAAAGCATTAGTTTCTAATACAAAAGAAGAAGAAAATACTTGGCACCAACCAGCTTTAACTTATTTTTCTGAATGACATCTTTGTTTTCCTTTTGGTATATCTCCATTTTCTTTTTGGTATTGTCCAAATCCACATTGTTGGTCAAGTTGAAAACTGCATGAGAAAAGAAACAGTGACATGAAATACAGTTTCAACATGCATCTTGCAAAGATAATAAAAACCAAATATCCATCACAATGATTTCTTAGTTCATCAGGTTGTCCTTCCTTTCAGCTCCATTTGTATCTTTTTACTGACCATCTACTTTATAGAAACTAGTTCTAGTTCAGCAACTATGATTTTCTGAATTAAATATAAGGAAAGACTGTCAGACTATCACACAGACTATCTAAAGACCTGAATACTCTTAAAAAAATCTAAGATATGTGCTTGCCATAGTCACAGTGGATTTGAATTTTATATTGCCCATTTTAACTTTAAAAGTATAAAAAAGATTGCTTAAATTTTTTAAATAAAAAAAGTAAGTCTGAAATCTACTACACTAGTCAGAATCAATACTGAGAAGAATCTAAGCTCCAAAAACAGAAAAATTATCCAAAGGAATAAAAAATACTATCCAACAAAAACAGGTTTTATTCTAATCTTCAACATAGCTGGACATAAGACTGAATCATTTCCCATACAGTCTAGATCTGGAAAAATATGAAATAATAAGAGTAGAAACCTAACAGGGAAGGTAAAGGATAATCTGGCTCCAAAACTGAAGACTGAAATAGTGAGTAAGAGAAGCCACTGAAACGTGTTCAGAAGGAAGATAAACGTTCGGTAAGTTAGAACTATCTTTTTAAAATTCTAATTCAAAGTGATTTTAATTATAAATGCCTAGCTCCCTTCTAAGTTTACATACGCAAATTTAAAGGTTATTATAACTCTCTGAACAAAAAAAGTCTTTAATTTATATGAATATAAATTCATATTTTAAAGTACTACCCACTGCCATACCCCTTTCAGTGTTAATATAAGCTCATCTGAAGAAGGATCCTCATCATTGTCTCTCCTATTCCATAATTCAATTCAGATCTCCCTTGGATTTCTCTAATCTTTATGCTTCTATTATTAGCCCTTCGATTCCTCCTCCAATTACTTCCAACTGCTTCCTCTAGCTTGACCTATAAGCAGGTTTGATCTACCCTAAATAATCTGCTTTAATCCATGCTCCTACATGATGACATCAAATGCTGGCAAGGATGTGGAGCAACAGGAACACTCATAAACTGCAGTGGGAATGCAAAATGGCATAGCACTTTGGAAGGCAATTTGAGAGTTTCTTACAAAATGAAACATACTCTTATCATACAATAAGAAGTATGATAAGACAACATACAATGCCTGCAACTGCACTCCTTGGTATTTATCCAAAGGAGTTAAAAACCATGTACACACAAAAGCCTGCAAATCAATGTTCAGAGCAGCTTTATTCATCACTGCTGAAACAACCAAGATGTCCTTCAGTAGTCTGAGTAGATAAACTAGAGTATATCCAGACAATGAGATATTATTAAGCACCAAATAATAATAAGCTATCAAAGGGTTAGCCCAGGTGGTGCGGTGGTAAAGAATCTGCCTGCCAATACAGGAGATGCCAAAGATGTGGGTTCAATCTCTAGGTCAGGAAGATCCCCCAGAGGAGAAATGGCAACCCACTCCAGTATTCCTGCCTGGAAAATCCCATGGACAGAGGAGCCTGGCGGGCTACAGTCCATGGGGTCACAAAGAGTCAGACACCACTGAGCACAGCGCATCAAACCATGAAAAGACATAGAGGAAACTTAAATGTGTATCACTAAGGCAACTGATAAGGCTACACACTGTATGATTTCAACCAACACCCTAAAAAAAGCAAATCTACAGAGACAGTAAAAAGATCAGTGGTTGCCAAGGACTGAGGGGAAAAAGGGACAAATAAGCAGAACACAGAGGAGTTTCAGGGTAGTAAAACTATTCTGCACAATACTATAATGGAGGATACATGCCATTATATAGTTATCCAAACCCATAAAATGTACATCAAGAGTAAACCCTAATGTAAACTATAGACCTTGGGAGATAACAATATGTCAATGTAGGTTCATTGATTATAACAAATTTGTAATTCAGGTGAGTATGCAGATAGTGGGGGAGTCTGTGTGTATGTGACGTACAAGAGGTATAAGGGAACTCTCTGCATGTTTCATTTAATTTTTCTGTGTATCTAAAACTGCTCTAAAAAGTAAAATCTACTAAAAAAAGAAACATCTCATCTGCTAAGAGCTCAAGAAATGTTTGCTGAATTATTACAAGAGGAAAAAAATAAACCAATACAGGTATAGGAGAGACAGACAGAACAGGTAAAGTGGATAAAGAGGTACAAACTTCAGTGCAAAATAAGTTATACGTCACAGGGATGTAATGTACACAGGGAACATAGTCAATGAAGTGAAGTCGCTCAGTCGTGTCCAACTCTTTGCAACCCCATGGACTGTAACCTACCATGCTCCTCCATCCATGGGATTTTCCAGGTAAGAGAACTGGAGTGTGTACAGTCAATAATACTGTAATTACTTTCTATAGTAATGGATGATAACTGGTCTTATTGCCATGATCACTTCATAATACATAAAAATATGGAATCACTAAGCTGTACACCTGAAACTAATATAATATCACATATCAATCACATCTCAAAAAACTAAAATAACAAAGAAATCAATGCTAATATTTATAATTATCTTTATAAATATAGATTGATTTAAATGACCTTTATAATTACAAAATTGAATAATTTGAAAGGCAAAGTAAGCAAATGAGGAACTAAAGGGAAAAAGTAATCTTTGTTTCTTATGGTATGAATCTACTGAGAAGTAAAGTTAATCAAATTGATATCCTATGTAGAACTTTATTAGAATATTTAGAGCAATTTAAAAAAAATTACAATTTATCACCAAGCTAGACAATGGGCTGATTAAAACTTCTCATTAAATAGAAATTAGAAACAGTAAAGTTAAATTCTAAGTAAAACTGATCTGTTATAATTTCTATTTTATGCTTATTAAAAATTTTATGAATTTTAATGAAACTCAAATAACCAATTTATTTCATTTTTTTAATTTAGAAAGCAAAGGTAATGGCAATATAATAGATGCAAATCATAATCACAAGTAATACAAATCTCTTCCTTTAAAAAACAAAAAGAGAGAGAAAAACACTAAAAGTGGATTACAGTTTTGAAAATATCAGATGAGGCCAGTCTCATTCATGATACAATCAATCAGACTGGTATAAGAGCTTTAAAGAAAGAAAATAATTTTCTATAACAATTATTTGGTCTTTTATCTATCCTGGTTACTGGCTTAGCTCAGATGTTGACCTGTCTTTAGTCAAGTATTAAAAGCCAACAAAAAACCTACTGTATTTTCTGAAAGATTTAATGTTATTTAAGTGCAATTCTGCAGTCTTTTTGGAATCCATAATTCATAATTAAAGCCCTTAGGACTTTCTCACCCTTTTAAAACAAAATACCCTAACCAAAAGAATAATATATTTATTATGAAACTAAGGACAAACTTTTGAGATAATCCCTTAGGCCAAAAGGAACAAGAATTTTTATGTTCAGATTGTCATACACAGAAAAGGGCCCATTGTCAAAGCTATAAGAAAGTCCATCTTCATATGTGCCCCCTTCTACTGTAATTTTTTATGCCACTACTCAAAATTCTAGTGTTCTAAACTTTTTTATATTCATCATATTCAAAGGGTTCATAATGAATTTCTATAACAGTAACTGATCCCCAATTTATAAATCCTCAAACACTGACTCCTCAGCCATCCGACCAAGTCTATTCTTTTCACTCTAACCTCAACAGCACCTTCCTGTCTTCCTTCCTACCAAACTTCTTTAAGATCCTTCAAAATTATAGCTCGAAAATATAGATTTTTGTCTTCTCCCATTCTAGTACTACTAATCAGCACTCCATATTCTAGACTCAGGCTATTAACTAGTCTCTGAGACTATCAAGTACTTTCATGGGCTCTGTGAGTTAGGAAAACCTATGTTCAAAGTCTGGTTACATTATATATTAGCAATGTGATCTCCAAAACAACAGTTACACTCTCTGTGCCTCCTCTCCATATGCAAAATAGATTAAAATACCTGTCCCAAGTGTTGTGAAAACTATGCTATTGATTAACACAGAGAGCTCCAATACAGATATCACAAACATCTAACTAATTATCCTTGAAAGAATGAATAAGACACAAACAGCTACTGAAACAAGGTTTTAAAAGGAAAATTTTTAAAAAACTTTTATTTATACCATAACAATCAGAACAATGACACTTAAGGAAGTAGTGGGAGTCACACCCTAACAAAACTTAAAAGGGTTGAAACCGGTCTCTTCCTCATTTCCATACTCTCCACCCAACAAAACAGTAAAAAAAAATAATGCCAGTTCTCCCACTATTATTTCCTAGATTAATACCATACAACTGCTCACGGTCAGAATACTGCAATTCATCCTAGCCTACTCTTTCTTAACTCACTTCTTCCATGAAATTATTCACTCAAATACTCTAGCTCTAAAACATCCCTTTTAACTATCTCTATCAGTTATTACCTACTCTAAGTTTGTTCTTCCCTGGTGGTTAGACGGTAAGTTCTGCTCAGTTTAGTTGCTCAGTCATGTCCAACTCTTTGCCACTCCATGGACTTCAGCATACCAGGCCTCCCTGTCTATCACCAACTCCCAGAGTTTACTCAAACTCATGTCCACTGTTTCAATGATGCCATCCAATCATCTCATCCTCTGTCGTCCCCTTCCCCTCTAGCCTTCAACCTTTCCCAGCATCAGGGTCTTTACCAATGAGTGTGTTCTTCACATCAGGTGACCAAAGTACTGAGAGATTCTGCTTGAGCATCAGTCCTTTCTTTGAAAACTCTGGATTGACCTCCTTTAAGATGGACTTGTTGAAACTCCTTGCAATCCAAGGGACCCTCAATTCCAACCAGTCCAAGAGTCTTCTCCAACAGCACAGTTCAAAGCCATCAATTCTTCGGTGCTCAGCTTTCTTTATAGTTCAACTCTCACATCCATACATGACTACTGGAAAAACCACAGCTTTGACTAGATGGACCTTTGTTAGCAAAGTAATGTCTCTGCTTTTTAATATGTTGTCTAGGTTGGTCATAACTTTACTGCCAAGGAGCAAGTGTCTTTTAATTTCATGGCTGCAGTCGCCATCTGCAGAGATTTTGGAGCCCAAGAAAATAAAGTTTGTCACTGTTTCCACTGTTTACTCATCTATTTGCCATGAGGTGATGGGACCAGATGCCATGATCTTAGTTTTCTGAATGTTGAGCTTTAAGCCAACGTTGTCACTCTCCTCTTTCACTTTCATCAAGAGGCTCTTTAGCTCTTCTTCACTTTATGGCAAAAGGGTGGTGGCATCTGCATATCTGAGGTTATTGATATTTCTCCCAATAATCTTGATCCCAGCTTCTGCTTCACGCAGCCCAGCATTTCTCATGATGTACTCTGCATATAAGTTAAACAAGCAGGGTGACAATATATAGCCTTGACGTACTCCGTTTATTTGGAACTAGTCTGTTGTTCCATGTCCAGTGCTGTTGCTTCCTGACCTGCACACAGATTTCTCAAGAGGCAGGTCAGGTGGTCTGGTATTCCCATTTCCTTCAGAATTTTCCACAGCTTCTTATGATCCACACAGTTAAAGGCTTTGCATTGTCAATAAAGCAAAAATAGATGTTTTTCTGGAACTCCTTTGCTTTTTCGATGATCCAGCGGATGTTGGCAACTTGATCTCTGGTTCCTCTGCCTTTCTAAAACCAGCTTGAACATCTGGAAGTTCACAGTTCAGGTACTATTGAAGCCTGACTTGGAGAATTTTGAGCATTACTTTACTAGCGTGTCAGATGAATGCAGTTGTGCAGTAGTTTGAGCATTCTTTGGCATTGCCTTTCTTTGGGACTAGAATGAAAACTGACCTTTTCCAATCCTGTGGCCACTGCTGAGTTTTCCAAATTTGCTGACATATTGAGTGCAACACTTTAACAGCATCATCCTTGAGGATCTGAAATAGCTCAACTGGAATTCCATCACCTCCACTAGCTTTATTCATAGTGATGCTTCCTAAGGTCCACTTGACTTTGCATTCTAGGATGTCTAGTCTAGGTGAGTGATCACACCACTGGGGTTATCTGGGTCATGAAGATCTTTTTTGTATAGTTCTTCTGTGTATTCCTGCCACCTCTTCTTAATATCTTCTGCTTCTGTTAGGTCCATACCATTTCTGTCCTTTATTGAGTCCATCTTTGCATGAAAATTCCCTTGGTATCTCTAATTTTCTTGAAGAGATCTCTAATCGTTCCCATTCTATTTTCTTTCTCTATTTCTTTGCACTGATCACTGAGGAAGGCTTTCTTATCTCTCCTTGCTATTCTTTGGAACTCTGCATTTAAATGGGTATATCTTTCCTTTTCTCCTTTGCTTTTCCCTTCTTTTCACAGCTATTTGTAAGGCCTCCTCAGACAGCCATTTTGCTTTTTTGCATTTCTTTTTCTTGGGGATGGTCTTGATCCCTGTCTCCAGTACAATGTCACAAACCTCCATCCATAGTTCATCAGGCACTCTGTCTATCAGATCTAGTCCCTTAAACATATTGATCTTTTCCACTGTACATTCGTAAGAGATTTGATTCAGGTCATACCTGAATGGTCTAGTGGTTTTCCCTATTTTTCTTCAATTTAAGGTTGAATTTGTCAATAAAGAATTCATGATCTGAGCCACAGTCAGCTCCCGGTCTTATTTTTGCTGACTGTATAGAGCTTTTCCATCTTTGGCTGCAAAAAATATAATCAATCTGATTTCAGTATTGACCATCTGGTGACGTCCATGTGTAGAGTCTTCTCTTGTGGTACTGATGTACACATGGACATCACCAGATGGTCAATACCGAAACCTACTCTAAGCACTCCCCCAAATTGTTGCTACTGCCCCTAAAAATGGTTTCCCAGCCTTGAGTTATCTATCTCCTGTCAGTATTCCACATCAGTACCACAATATTCAGGTTTCCCTTGTGGCTCAGCTGGTAAAAAATCTGCCTGCAATGTGGAAGACTTGGGTTCAATCCCTGGGTTGGGAAGATTCCCTGAAGAAGGGAAAGGCCTCCCACTCCAGTATTCTAGCCTAGAGAATTCCCTGAACTGTATACTCCATGGGGTTGCAAAAAGTCGGACACGACCTACTGACTTTCACTTTCAGTTTTCACTTTCACCACAATATTCTGCCGTCTCTCTACCAGCCACGGAATAAAATTTTAACCCTTACAGTCTAGCTTACAAAGCCCTCATTAACCCATGTCCAGTCTGTTTTTCAAGCCTCATTTTAGTCACTCCCCTGGTTCTATCTACCTGTAAAAGATTAACACTTGCTACATTATCCAACATGCTCAACATGTATTTCTGTGACTTTGTCTTTGCTACAAACATTCTTCCATCCTCTTTCTACATGGTAAACTATTCATCTTTTAAGATTGTGTGTTCACTAGTTCAAACTGTACTTCTACTTCCTAATGCTGAATTGTATTGCTATCTATATTCCTGAAATACTTTATAAATAAATGCCCATGCTACCTTTGCATTATATTATAATTTCATAATTATCTCCCCCTTTAGAATATGAACTTATTGAACACAAAGATCATACAGTCTCAGCAAGTAAATAATTCACAGAGAACAATATTTGCTGAATTGAGCTGAAGTTCAGAAAATAAACTATGAGTCCATGAAGCTAGGTCCCAAACTTCATCAATATTTTCAAATGCAAAAGAACTGCTCTTTGTCCAACATGATCAGGATCAGTAGTGGATTACTTAAAAAAGTCTGTCAAAGAGGTGAAACGTATATACACACTCCTTGAACACCTTATTTTAACTTAAAGCATATGTGCTAAGTGTACAGTCGTTGTCTAATGTAAAAAACACACATTTTTTAATGGGAATTCTGCTTCCTTCTTGTATAAACCCTAAGTGTTATCTATATTGTTCAGTTCCCATTTTTTTTTAAAGTGGACCAAGGACTTCAGAAATAGAATCCTTCTAAAGTTCTGTAATTTTTCCAGTCTTACAAACTACTTAAATTAATTGCAATTAAAAAGTACAACTGGCATAAGAAGGTTTGATTACCTATGCAATCCACTTTATAAATAACTGAACTGGTGAGAGAAGTACAGAAGTAAACCTAAAGACATCTTTTAATGGACAGGACACATTATGCATTGATTACGCTTCAATAATCAGTCAGTTCATGTTACAGAAGGGCTGGGAAATATCAGTTAGCCCAGTAAGTCAACTAAGCAATATTCGGTTAAGAGAGTGTCAACGTACTGCAACTGAAGACAGTTCTTCATGAATACACATACTAGCAGAATCACTTTCAAATTAAATGTGCTGGGCTAGTTTCCTTATCCAGTAAAGAAAAAAATGACTGTATTGTAAGCCCTGTATTCAGACTTGCTCTTACCTGTCACTCCTACCTCCCACTTCTGGACATGTACCTATCCTAAACCAAGTATCTAAGCATAGCCAGAGTTCTACATACCTGCACACTTGCCCATTTTGGCAGATTTGTTTTCAGTTCATCTTCTCAGTCTATATCCTAACTTTTCTACTTTACCTTAGCACTCCCAAATCTATCACCTTTTCAGCTAAAATCTACAGCCATTCAGGGCTGCTAAGATTACATATAAAGTACAATGAATACAATTAGAATAAAAAAGCAATGGTTCCAAGGCACTAAAAGATACCAGAAAAAAGGCTAAACTATGTTCTGTATGTGCTACTCACTATGATATAATAAAGTTAGGTATTTTAGAAAAGTTTCAATAACAGTCGAAATAAAAGGTTTTGAGTTTTCCTCAGTTAATACAGAAATGAAAAGAATTAGAATACTCTATTCCTCTGAAATTCGAATTGTCTAAAAAATTTACCATATAGAAATATTTTACAGAATAATAAATTTTATTATAATTCTATTTTAAGAAATAATGTGAGTATAACTTGGCTCTCAGGTTTGAGAAAAGAATAAAAACATAATTATTTAATTCTCTTGGTCTTGTTCTAATTTTCATAGTCTATAACTTCTATATTATTTCCAAACCTAGATTAAGTAATAATAATTATGGCAAGTTTAATTGATGTTTAGCAATTGCAAACTTTGTAACATCTCTAAAATCTTATTTAAGAAAACAGGAACAGGAGGGACATATGTATACCTATGGCTGATGCATATTGATGTATGGCAGAAACCAACACAATACTGTAAGACAATTATCCTTCAATTAAAAATAAATAATTTTTTAAATTAAAAAAACAAACAATGTTTCCTTTTGATGAAAGCTTCTTTTAGACTAATCACAAGAGAAGAATAAGCACTAAGATTACTCTACCTTCTAATTCTACAGTAACACTGAATAACAGAATGTCACTTCAACATTCAACTACTTCATAGTATTTTCAAATTACTGCATGCACAGAATCATAAATGATGAATAAACAACTTATGGCTTTAATCACCATGGATACAGTTAATGGAAATTCTATTTTTAAAAGCTGAGTATTTTTCTCATTTATTCTAATACATCATTAACATACAGATAATATATATACATAAAACCTTTCTTTCCAGCTATAAAGTAGTAGTACCTCTATTCATCATATTTTTCCTAAGACAAAATGTTTATTACTTAAGTATGTCCTTTAGGTAAAATGGAAAGTAATTAGGTAAACATCAACTACCACAACAAAATCTGTCAGAGACTTTTATATGAGATATTCTCTCAGGCATCTAAAAGATAAAAGCATACAGGCTAGCACATCAAAGTACAAGCATTAAATACATACCAATTTCTTCTACTTCTTCCAGGAAATCATTATATTCTCTTAGACTAGGAAAGTCTTCTTCCCTTTTATTGTATCTTTAAGAAGAAAAAAATTAACATATTACATATCACTTGCTTTTAATATTATCTAACTGGTTTGTTCTTACCTAATTCATACATGATAAATAAAAAATAACTGCTTATGGTATAAAACAGTTTTCTTGACACCAGGTTTGTAACTAGACTAAGAATGTTGTTTTTAAATTCTTTTGACTACAGAGAGGGAGTAGAATGAAGAGAATGGTACAATATGTAAAATCCTAAGACAAGAAAAAATAAATTAGAACACTGAAGAAATGGGAAATGAGCTTAAACAAGGTCTATCATTGGAATATTTGGTTTTTTATATTGTTTACTTCTAATAAATAGATTCACTAATTTCCAGAAAGAGGACACCTTCCTATTTTTCATGACAGTTATAATCTAAAGAATGCTAGATAAAGAAAACTTATAAACAATGTGGAACTTTGCTGGTGGCCCAACAGTTAAGACTCTGCTCTCACAATGCAGGAGGTACAGACTTGATTCCTGGTTGGGGAACTAAGATCTCACATGGCAAAAAAGAAAGGGAAAAAATCTATAAATAATGTAATGTGCCTGTGAAAAATTAGAAAATCAGAGGGCTTAATGACAAAAGATAAAAATCTAAGAGAACCTACCTATGGCTAATTTATGGTGATATATGGCAGAAACCAACACAACATTATAAAGCAACTATCCTCCAGTTATAAATAAATAAATTTAAAAAAAAAAAATCTAAGAGAGACTATCTCCCAGAAGTAATCCAAAAAATAAAAGAGCAGTTTGGATTATTGATAAAGTATCCAGCAAGATGCTGCTAAAAAACTGGTGAACAAAGTTGAAATGTAGACCACCTAGATACATAGATATTAATTCTAACCATAACCTAAAAAGTAATAAGGTGGCTTAAAGCAAAAGGAGAGATAAAATAAAATTTAAAACTATTAACAAAAAGTAAAAAACTAAATCATAAGAGAAAAAGAACACTAGAAATATTTATGTATCCATACACACACAGAGAGATGTATCAAAATAAATTGCAGCTAACCCTAATTTTCTCTAATAGCTTTCAATAACAAATGTTACCTCCTCAGGACTTACCTAACATCACTGACTCACAACAATATTTAGTCCCTAACTTCACAGCATTTTTCCCAATTTATAATCACATATTTGTTTTGTTTGCCTATTTTAATGCTATCCAAGCTACTATACTGTAAGCATTACAAGGGCAAGGCACATAGCTATTACACTCATTTCATACATGTGTGTGTGTGTGCGCGCGCGCATGCACGCACAGTCAGTCAGTCAATCATGTCCGACTCTTTGCAACTCCAAGGACTGTAGCCTGTCAGGCTCCTCTGTCCATGGAACTTTCCAGGCAAGAATACTGGAGTGAGTTTCCAGGGGATCTTCCCAACCCAGGGATCAAGCCCATGTCTCTTATGTCTCCTGTACTGGCAGGCAGATTCTTTACCACTACACCACCTAGGAAACCATTTCGTACTCAAGGTCTAATATGTGTAACACTGTTTGCACAGAGTAGGTTCTCAATATATATTTACTAATTAAGTTAAAGAATAAATAAAGCAAATAAATTGTGAACATGAATTCATAAGATTCACTCTTTCGGAGTTCCCTGGTGGCCTAGTAGTTAGGATTCTAGGCTTTCACTGCTGTGGCCCAGGTTCATTCCCTGGTCAAGAAATGAAGTTTTGCAAGCCACACAGAGCAGCTAAAAATAAAAAATAATTATTTTTCAATAAAAAAGATTTACTCTTCTCTAACAAAGGTTAGATAATATTACTGAGTTCTCGAAGAACTTAATAAATTTTTAACATTGAACAAATACATAGATCAATTTATATTTACTCACTTGCCAAATGTCCACATTTCTACAAGTAAATAATTACATCAAGCATAGAAATAACTGTCAAAATCTTTGTGAACTGAATCATTCAAGCATTAACACTTACATCTTTAGCACTTTTTTCCGAATCTCAACTTCCTTGTCAACAGTAGGATCTTCAAAGAGCTGTACCCTGAAGTTGCTCTTTCGAAGTGGAGTGCCACACTCAGGACAATTTCCAGCTCCTCTCACAAACAGTAAATCCACACAACTTTCACACCTGTAGGGAGAAAAATACAATAAAACTTTTAAGCTAGTATTCAAATCAACAGTAAGTCTGTATACAGTTTGCCTTTTTTCAGTTTTGGTGTTTGTTTGAGGTTGGGAGAGGAGGCACAGGAAAATTAATCATTACTACCTAAAATTTTTATTGAAAACCTTTAGGAAAAAAGTTCATTTTCATGTAGAGCCTACTTCAGACATAGGTGGTCCACGGTTCACCAGTATAATTTTACAAACGAAAGAAATATACAAATTTTTGAAAACTGATTTAGGATCTAGGAGGATTCAGATAGTGATAGGGAGAAGTCAAAGAGGCATATAAAAGAGCAGTCTAGGATCAAATCCACTCTCAGACCAGTATCACCCTCAGACCTGGCAGGGACCTGCACCTTAGACAACCCTGCATACCATAATCACTAAAATTAAGCCCTTTCCCCTACTTTCAACCTTATAAGGAAGTTCTTTAAAGTTCAGTAAGCAGTTGAGTCAGTGGAAGTTACTCAAAAGGGAGACAGGTGCTGGCTGAAGGAGGCCCCTCAGGCCAGAGGATGAAGAACTGAGACTGACCCGTATATGTGGACAAAGGAGAAAAATCACCACAGAAGAAAAATCACCACAGCTTCTGCCCTGAAAAATCTCAGAAATAGTGGCTACTTATAAAATCTTTTATCAGTTAAAGCTGGCTGCTCTAAATCCGCCAAAGTGATTATCCAGGCAAGCCAAGTCTCCCAAATACCTACATCCCTTCCTTCCTCTCTTCTTGGCTAGTACAATTTGGGGAAGAGCTTAGAACTTCTTAGAAGTCTTCAGTTTGAAAAGAAAGGAGCTGGCAAGGTTAACTCTCTGTAGGAGATTTCTGGGGGAACTGACAGAGTTAGTTCACATATTGTTTTAGACGGGTCCAGGCACCATCCAATCATCCCGGCCCAGCCTGAACAGATCCATCCTACGAGCTGACCAGGAGCAAGCAGCCACTTCAGCCAGTGGGCCTTAAAGATACAGGCTCCTGGGAACTCAGGATGCAGTGTTGTAACTAAGGCTGCACTAAAGATGTCGCTTGATTTATAACTTTTAAACATTTAAACATACTGGTATGTATTCCTCTAGCTGTAATACTGACCAACACAGTATATAAGGGCCACACCAACCCTAATCATTCCTTTCTTAGCATTGTTTGAAGCTATTTATTTATGCGTAACCCCCACTAAAATGGAAGGCAGGGATTTGACCTATCTTTTCTACATCACTATAAATATACATATATAACAGAAGGAAAAAGACAAATTCTAGTAAGTAAGGGAAAGGTTGATTTCTTCCAAATATGTAGTTCACTAATGGAAAGAATGATGCAGAGAAATAAGAATATTTAAGGTTGGTTATCAGTAAAACACTAACATTGACCTTGGCATGTCTGTATATTAAAATGGGGGTAGGGAGAGAATCATCGAAAAAGACAGGCAAAAACTCCCTAAGAGGGAGAACACAGATCACAGTCATCATTATTCAAGATCAACAAGACCCCAGAAACTTCACTTGGGATTGAGAAAATTGGGAGTGGTACATTTCTCCTAATCTTTGTGGTTGGAGCAAATTAAATCCAACTAGAGAAGCTGAAACTGAGCACGCTTTAGAATGCAGGCCCTATACACACCCTAATTTTGTCTCGAACCATTGTTATGAAACCCTTCATCAAATCCTCTGGGATTGGGACACATGGCTTTTTAAGGTAGGAGTTCATGTATCTCCGTTTGCCTGGCAAAGTAATAAATCTACCCTTTTTTACTTCAAAAAAAAAAAAGAAAAGAAAATGAGCACACTATATAACTACACTGACTAAAGATGTTTATAGGCAAGGAGCTACCTGAAATACTCAAAATCATTGACCTATTATACAGAATCCAATATTCCATACAGTATTTGAAGGTCTTGGAGAGTAGACCCATTCAATAATTCAGTTAACAAGGTAATAAAAACACTTCAGTATTTCTGAAAGTCATATTGCAACTCAGACATATTATTTGTTACCATAGTTAGTTCTACATCTCCGATTATAAATCTACATCATAAGGATTCTAATATAAATCATAAGGATTTCAATAGCATTAAAGATATTTTAAATAACCTACTTCCCATACAACTTTTCCCTTTCTGATTTTAATTGTTAAAAGAACAAATAATTTTTTTTTTAAGTTCAAATATAGAAGTATGTAGAGAAAAAACTCAAAGTGCTACTTCCTTCTGTTCTACATCTTACTTCCTACACGCTACATACAGCTATAAAGTTCGGCATTTATGTGGCCGGATATTTTTCTACATATTTACAAAATACGTATGTTCAAATTACATACATGAAAACTAATCTTACAAAAAAAAAAAAGAAGAAGAAGAAAACATTCCTAATTGCTAGTTCACTTCATCTGGCAACAAAGCAACCAAAAGACAGTTATGTGGGCAATCTTTTGCCTCCAAGAGTGCTAGGAACTTTTTCAAACAAAATCTTATATTCTGCAGAACACAGGAAAATTTGCTGAAAAAGCCTAAATCCTTAGTTATTACCCATTCCCAAAGATGTTTTTATGGTTTTCTTTTGTTTTTTAAAAACCAGAATGGTTCCTGCCCCCTTTCCTCTCTGAACAACTTATTTTTAGATTCTTTTTTCTATCAAGAATATTTAACCACTTATATTCCTCTGTCAAGATTTTCAATCAACTTGTTTCTTTACCTTTTCAAGAGCAAACAAGTCAATTAAAAATCCTGACAAAGATTAGATACAAAAAACCTATAGCTAACACCATACTTAATGCTGAGAAACTAAAAATTTTCCAACTAAAATCAAATACAAAGCGAGACTATATCCTCTCATTACTCCTTTTCAATATGACACTAGAAGTCTATGCTAATGTAGTTAAGACAAGAAAAGGAAATAATGGACAGATAGATTGAAAAAAAAAACACAGAGCTCTCTTTGCATACAGATGACATGATTGTCTATACAGAAAATCCAAAAGAATCTACAAACTAAAAACCTCTTAGAACTAATAATCCATTATAATTATAGCAAAGTTACAGAATACAATATACAAAAGTTTATTGCTTTCCTATATACCCCAGCACTGAATAAGTGCAATCTGAAGTTAAAAACAGTATCATTTATGTTCCAGTTCCACTTCAGTCGCTCAGTGGTGTCCACTCTTTGCGACCCCAGGAACCACAGCACACCAGGCCTCCGTGTCCATCACCAACTCCCTAAGTCTACCTACCATGTCCATTGAGTCGGTGATGCCATCCAACCAGCTCATCCTCTGTCGTCCCCTTCTCCTCCTGCCCTCAATCTTTCCCAGCATCAGGGTGTTTTCCAATGAGTCAGCTCTTCGCATCAGGTGGCCAAAGTATTGGAGTTTCAGCTTCAACATCAGTCCTTCCAATGAACACCCAGGACTGATCTCCTTTAGGATGGATTGGTTGGATCTCCTTTAGTCCAAGGGACTCTCAAGAGCCTTCTTTCTCCAACACCACAGTTCAAAAGCATCAATTCTTCAGCACTCAGCTTTCTTTATAGTCCAACTCTCACATCCGTACGTGACTACTGGAAAAACCATAGCCTTGGCTAGACAGACATTAGTTGACAAAGTAATGTCTCTACTTTTTAATATGCTGTCTTGGTTGGTCATAACTTTTCTTCCAAGGAGCAAGCATCTTTTAATTTCATGGCTACAGTCACCATCTGCAGTGATTTTGGAGCCCAGAAAAATAAAGTCTGTCACTGTTTCCATTGTTTCCCCATCTATTTGCCATGAAGTGATGGGGCCAGATGCTATGATCTTCGTTTTTTGAATGCTGAGTTTTTTTAAGCCAACGTTTTCACTCTCCTCTTCCACTTTCATCAAGGGGCTCTTTAGTTCCTCTTCACTTTCTGCCTAAGCGTGCAATCATCTGCCTATCTGAGGTTACTGATACTTCTCCCAGCAATCTTATTCCAATTTGTGCTTCATCCAGCCAACATTTCTCATGATGTACTCTGCACATAGTTAAATAAACAGGGTAACAATATACAACTTTGACGTACTCCTTTCCTGATTTGGAACCAGTCTGTTGTTCCATGTCCAGTTCTAACTGTTGCTTCCTGACCTGCATACAGATTTCTCAGGAGGCAGGGAAGCTGGTCTGGTATTCCCATTTCCTTCAGAATTTTCCACAGTTTGTTGTGATCCACACAGTCAAAGACTTTGGCATAGTCAATAAAGCAGAAGCAGATGTTTTTCTGGAACTCTCTGGCTTTTTCAATGATCCAATGGATGTTGGCAATTTGATCTCTGGTTCCTTTGCCTTTTCTAAATCCAGCTTGAACATATGGAAATTCATGGTTCACATACTGTTGAAGCCTGACTTGGAGAATTTTGAGCATTACTTTGCTAGTGTGTGAGATGACAGCAATTGTGCAGTTGTCTGAATATTCTTTGGCACTGCCTTTCTTTGGGATTGGAATGAAAACTGACCTTTTCCAGTCCTGTGGCCACTGCTGAGTTTTCCAAGTTTGCTGGCATACTGAGTGCAGCACTTGCACAGCATCATCTTCCAGGATTTGAAACAGCTCAGCTGGAATTCCATCACCTCCACTAGCTTTCTTCATAGTGATGCTTCCTAAGGCCCACTTGACTTCGCATTCCAGGATGTCTGGCTCTAGGTGAGTGATCACACCATCATAGTTACCTGGGTCATGAAGATACTTTTTGTACAGTTCTTCTGTGTATACTTGCCACCTCTTCTTAATATTTTCTGCTTTTAGGTCCATACCGTTTCTGTCCTTTATTGTGCCCATCTTTGCATGAAATGTTCCCTTGGTATCTCTAATTTATTTGAAGAGATCTCTAGTCTTTCATTCTATTGTTTTCCTCTATTTCTTTGCACTGATCACTGAGGAAGGCTTTCTTATCTCTCCTTGCTATTCTTCGGAACTCTGCATTCAAAATTTAGTCATTTTAAATATCCAATAAACAC